ACTCGGATTCCGAGAGCAGGAGAGCTCGAGAGCAGGAAAGAGAGGAGGAGCACGACGATTCGTCCGATTCGGAAAAGTAGAAACGACTGAAACTGAATTCACACCGCGGCAGCCCAGTCGGTCCGATATTCCTCTGTATGGGTTAGCTGCTACGTAGGTGTAGGGCCTTCTGGCTGAGTGTTTGTAAGTGCTGGCGTGAGCAGGCGGCGCAGCCAGACGAGAGCGTGGCGGAGAGAGACAGAGCGTGAGAAGACCAGGCGGCTAGTGATGCCACCGTGAGTGTAGGTGCTTGTCAAAAGGAATGTGTGTGTACTAGGGTTCCACAGGAGCAGAACAAAATTTTGATATATTCATTAAGCCCAAGATTTTGAGACTGAAAACGTCTTGAAGTTGAACTGGGAAATAAGTTTGTTCTAGTTCTAAGTTGGCTTGATTAGAGTTGAATATATAAGGTTGAGGTTAAGGATACATTTGGGCCTTAAAAAATGGTCCTTCCAACCGGATATTAGGGTTTTTTGTAGCTTAGATAAAATATCATTGATTAGGGAATTATTCCTGTTGGGGATTAAACTTTCAGTTTCAGAGAGCGTAGCTTCTTACTCATAAAGGTCCTTGCCCAAGATATTACTTATTTTAATACGATATTTTCTTATATAATTTCTTATAATTTCTTCTCAGTATAATTGTTATTGTAAATATTATTAAATATCATGGTAAATATTATATTATTATTGCAAATATTTAATGGTTATGAATATACAAATCAGTTCCATATATAATCTTTCATTCTTAAATATCCTTTCCAGTTATATTTCACCTGCTCCTCCCTAACAACCCAAACAGCATGCAGACCAAACACGAAGATGATCTCAAAACAAAAACTGCAATTGGCGAGAAGCAACAGGAACAAAAACAATAGAGACGGTGAAATCCGATTAGAAATGCCGAAGACAGACGACGTGAGAGCAGACACATGAGCCTGGGTGTAAGGGGGAGGAAATCGGAGGAGAGAGAGCCAGAAAGGAGGAGAAACGCACGTTGCCATGTGCAGCTCAAGCAAAACAAATTCGAGCAAGTTACCAGAAACATAAACGCAAACAGAAATGGAAACAACGAGCATTAGACCGTACAAACGGGAAATGTTCAACAATTCCAAAAGCCAGACCTGCCTGGCTGCATTGCAGCCCCTCTGGCTGGCTAATTGGCCTCGTGACACACCAGGAGGAGCACATTGCATGAGCAACACCTGTTGGACGTTAGGGAAGTGCACCATGGCGACAAGCTCCAGCACCTTCCGCTGGCAGGGCTTATGTAAAGTGTTTTTTTTGGGTGCCTTGTAATAATTTGGAGAGTTTTACTATGGATCTCTAGAGCTTTGATTGATAGGGAATCTAAAAAACATCCTGTAAAATGTCTTACTTAAGTTTTGCCATGAAATATAATAAATAAGTTTAAAATAACTTATTACCTATTTTTGTTTGCTAAATTTACTGAAAGTTAAAAGAGTGATCAATTTTAATTTAGATTTTTATATCCCAATATATTATATATAACTAATTATAGTTCGAACTAACGTCGTTACTTCGAGTAAAACTTTATGCCACAAATCAATAACAAAATCCATACGAGACTATTTGATTTATATATTAAGCAATAATACATAAACAATCACTGTTTATGTCCTCGAAGATATCGTTGTAATTGCATTGCAACTTTCTCGATGGGGAGGCGGGACATCCCAACCACTCTCAGGGAGAAAGTCTTCAACTGGTTCAGAATCCACTGGAAGCACTTAACACAACTACTCAACCTGAAACTTGTTTGCACGTAGAAATTTCCTGTATTGGCTTACATAAAGCCCAAAAGATATGATTGTGATGACAAGAGCTTGAAATCGACGTTTTCCCCTGTTCATGCATTGTGTAAATGTTCTATCATCTGCGCGTGGCATGCTCCACTTTTCTGGGGGTTTCCTGCAGCTGATAAAAAAATAAAATAAGTGACCTGCTAAGATAGGAAATCACTTGATTTAGATACTTTAGGATGTCTGAATCATCGAGTGGGGTGGTGAAATTATTTGCTAGTTTTAGCAACTCTGTTCTGTTGCCAAGGGTTAAGTAGATATAAGAACGAAATAGGGGTATCTTTAAGCTTTATTTAGTACAAATAAAATCTATTTCTATAAAAAAAGCAACTCTCTTTCTATATTAACCTTTCCCCCAGCACGAAACAAGCCCACGCGCTTCTAAAAATCAATAAACCAAACAAATTTCAAAGTCAAACTAGAAACTGACCATCAATTTTTGATTAGATAGATACAATTGAGAACAAGGACAACGATTTGCTCAGACATTTAATATGTATAGAGTTTTTAGTAAGAATCAATAAGAGAAATATGAACTTGCTGAGAACCTAACAGAAAATATAGAATTTATTATAAGAAATACCTATTGAATTACGCCAGGAAAGCGAGATAATTGCATCAAAGGCAAAGCGCCACACCACAGCACAATTCTTTGATCTTTGCTGTATAAGCATGCTATATTATACTATATGAATCACAAATTGAAAGGCATATATACATATATCTCTGTACTTTTTTATATAGCTTAAAGCCTCACAAGAGTGAGATCATATAAAATGCAATGCCTTAAAATGTTATTTAATTGAGGCGATAATAAAATTCAAAAAGAATTCATGTAAAACATAATCAAGTCGAGCCGGAAATAATATATAAAATCAGCTACTGGAATATTTGCTAGTTAACTTTGTAGAAATGTACTTAGCCCAGTCACTTAATCATTGTGGTTGTGCCAACTAGCAAAAGTTAAACAGTTGTTCATTTCCTTAGCAGGCAATGTAATTAGTTGCCTGGTTAACTATAAAAAAGTAAGCAAACCATTAATGCAGCTTCTTTAATCAGAAAACTCTGGAGGAGGAATCGCAGCCTATTTCTGGAATCCATGGACCATATTTGGTTATTAATTGGTCTGTCCATTTAAACAAGACAACGTTTAAGTTGAAGTTGAAGTTTAAACTTAGGAAACCCCTTTGCCAACCCGGGAAACCAGTTTATCTTTTCGGTCAATAAATTTTGGTTTCAAGATTTTTTTGCAACTTGTTTTGGTTTGCTTTTTCTTTTTTTTTTTTTGCGAAAAAAACAAAACAAAGCGAATATCAAGGCGTTACGGTGACCCACATTTAATCACTCTATAAAAGCACAGGTAATAAATATTAAAAAAAAAATTAAAAAAGCAAGAATAAAAATAATTTTTATGTCTCATTAGGTAACTCAAAAAAAATTCAGAACCAATACAAAGTTCAAGCCAAAAATTTTCTTATATTATATACATAGAAATATATCCAAAAATATTGAAATAAACTTTTCAGATCTACGTCTGCAATTGTTTTTACCCTTTTGCGTCATTCCATGTCACGTGTGGGGGCGGGGCTTCGGACAAGAAAAAAAAAGAATATTTTCTTCAAGGTAACATGGAGATTATACGCCAAAATGTGAATAAACAAAGTGCTTGAGCTTCTTGTATCTAAAAATATCAAGAAATGTACTCAGAATTTGAATGTCTGCATTTGTCTTTTAAATTTTAAAACATGTTTTGGATTTTGAACTTTCTATAATATATAGTAATTGACAGATCTTTGGACTTTGTTTTTGAGGGGTAAGAATATATCTTTCTTTCATAGACATTTAATAGATATTATTTTCTGTTCATTCAATAAAACATTGTTTACATATTGTATCAGATAGGAGCTATCAGAGCAGATAAAGCAAATAGCAGACTAATCAAATTTTCTCAGTAACATGGAAGGTCACAAAATTTGATTTATGGGGCAAATAAACAAGAGAATCGTGATCTAGATATGTAAAAAATATTTATTTAATTTATTTACAATTTTTTCAAAGGGAAATAATGAAAATAAAACAGAGTTAAGTAAATATTAAGAAAAATATATATATTTAATACAATATAAAAAAGATTAAATAGTAAAAAAACCCTAATTTAGATCTCTGAAGTCTCTAAATTATGAAAATCCCTAAAACAAATATTTAACTGAAATTTCTTGCCACCATAAACTCAATTTACAATCCTCGCGCTTCTGAAAATCCCAGCTTTTCAATAAAAGTTCGCGAAAAAAAACATAAAAAATTAAGCCTTTAAAGCCTTTTGTTAATTGCCTTGAGAAACCTGCGCGATATGGTAATTAATTTTACTGAACCCAAATAATTTCGTACTGATTGTTATCTGGCGGTGTCGTCACTTCATTTTTTGTACCTCGGTCAGGTGGTTGGCCAGACACGAGAGAGAAAGATAATATAGTATATGCCGTAGTATAGCGGAAAATTCGACGTCACTTCCGAAGATTTTGCACAAAAAAATGTATATCTTAAGAGTTAGATAACAGAGAGATTCATAGATTTACCCTGAACATTGGTCATGGGTTGTTAAGTATCTGTGTAAACAGAGTGAGTGAAGCTTGAGCACTCAATCAAGGGAGAAATTGATATAGATACAATGGCTAATATATATACTTCGTACGATCTCTCACGAGTGGAAAATATTTATAAATTCCATTGGGTGACAAATAATTATCAATGTAAAATCTATAAATTAGATCGGACACCCCTTTGCCGCATTATCGCTGAATACTTGATATTTATTTAATAATACAGGTGTATATATTATATTGTTTACATAACACACTGTCGCTGCTGCTGCTGCTGCTGGTGTTCGCTCTTACCTAACTCGAGTGCCACGCGCTCTTTGGGAGTCCAAACCTAATGAAAGTTACGTTACCAAAACCCCTAAAAATACCTAGGGGCTTGGCCTGTCATTAAACCAGGTTCAAGGTCAACACGAAAACAATTAAACCTCACAAAAAGCAGACCGCACTTTGCCACGTTTTTTCAATACCTCTAACGGGAAATGCTAATCACCTTTCTAATCACACGTAATTACCAAAATCTGATATCAAAAACTTACCATCTTTGTGGTTTCGGTAGCCATGGCTCAATTCTATACTATGTAGTCTTTGGATATCTGAAGAATTGCTCGTATGGTTTCTATGTTAGCACAATCGCGGCGAAACGATTATTTCATAATTTTCACTTCACGCCGACGACTGAAACGTCTATTTTTTGGTAGACAACGTTTTTTATGAATATGTTCGTTCGACGACTAATTTGCGAATGCTACCAAAACCGAATCCGATTTTCTTTAGCGTTCTCCGCTCGCCTCTCTCTATTAAGCCCTGGACAAAAGAAAATATCTGATAAGTGTTTGTTTTTGCCGAGCGCGAGAGATACGAGACCGGGGACCGGAGACTCGAGACCAGAGACCAGAGACAAAAAACCCGGCGAGACGAGTGTGAGAGTGCAAATACTAACGGCGGTTACTCATCGAATGAGAGTGAATGGAGTGCTTACAGTAGAACCTCGAGAGGGGGAAAAATGGGAGTATTACTTGTTAACGGTTTCATCTTAAATTCTTAATTTGTTTGAGGGTTTTGAAGGAATGTTTCTAAGGTTTCTAACGAGTTTCTCAATGATTACCCAAGTATATCAGATATTATCACCAGTTCTTAAGATCGGAGCCAGTAAGTTTGTGCCAGGAAAGGAAGTTTTATTAGAAATTAAATGACAAGGTCTTTTAAGAAATATTAAATCGAAATATTAAGGGGTTTAAACATTTCTTAAAAGACCTTTTATATTCATTTCTAATTTCTTAAATGACCTTTTTAAATTATTTTTATTTCTTTAAAAGACATTTTATTCCCAATTAGAGTTTTTGATAAGTTTTTATCCCAATTTCAGCTCAACAGAATCTCCACTGTATAACAGTTGAAAATTATGGTCATTCGTGTTGTTGGGGTTGCCTGCAACCACCGCTCGTGACCTGACCTTCCCTCTCACAACTCTCGCATTGACCTTAAACCATTCGCCTGACATGCAATATACTCGTTCATTGTAGTTTTTCCCCCTCACACATTTTCCTCACCGCTGATGAAAGTCCATTCATGGAAAGCGAAATGTGTGACGTCACCTGTTTTGAGGCTATTTGGCGCTGTGCAATTTGTGTGGCTTTTACAACTTGTTGTCATTTGCTAAATGATGAAAGTTTTTCCTGGGGAAACTTAATCTCGTGCTTTACGTTTTTGCCTCTGGAATTCAGAGAAGGCGAAGAGATTAGATGCAAAGGTAAACGATTTAGGTGAAATGATGTTGGAGAAGATAGATAAGGGTACAATTCTGGATTTCCATAGAAGAAGATCTGGAATCTTAAGCTTGTTATGGCTCTTTTGCGTCAGATTTTCCTTGTTATCATATAACTCTATTGCGATATATTCTTAAGTTTGAAGGAAGGTAATTCGTTCAGTAATTTCAGTAGCTCTTTCACTGCTTTCCAAACTTCTAACTAAAACTATAATACCCTGCTAGGGTTTTAATAACAAATAATTTAAATTTAAACGAAATAAATAAAATATAAGTCTCACAGCTGCCAGCTTTGCTACATATGTATATATCTTGCGTTTTATATCTTTTAGCATTTTACAAAAACCGTAAAAAAAGATACAGATACATCTTTGTATATTTTACACGTTAATATACATGATTGTGACGCCCTCTAGCGACATGAATAGGAAGCGTTTGACTCAAGGTGCCTGAAGCACCCTGTGTCAGAAGAATTTAAATTTCAAGAAATTAATTTAAAAAATTAAAATTAAACTATCAGGCCTGTTCTAGTTTCCATTCGGAAGTGAATTTGATAACATTTGCGGATTTCCCTTTAACATAAGCGAATTTCCCTTGGTGATTTAAGGAAATTTTTTTTAATTTCCCTTAAATTCCCAAACAAAATCAGCTGGTCGCTTTCAACAAAAGAGATTCCCTTGTCTAAGATTTGCTAAAAGGGGCTGATCAAATTTTGGCCCGCTGTAGTCTCCAACTCATAGATAGTAATGAAGCACTAATTTAAATAATAAAATCTAAGGAATAAGCATTAAGACAGGAAATAAACATTTTGAAATATTTGTAATTGCAATCAGCTGTTCTGGTGGCAAAATGCTGGAAAGTAGAGTTGCCGAGGGTTTAGAAAAAATTCCCTTCGCATAAAATTTAGTTCAGTTTGTGGATTGAATTGGCTGGTATTTTAAAGAATAACACTTTTTCATATACTTTACCTAATAGCAGATATTTTAATTGTAAAACAACATAAAAAGTAATTGTTCGAAATTAATCTTAAATATATGCCGTTTTTTTTGAAACGCTGACAACCCTTAAATGGTCCCTCTCAAATACGACACAGCGGCAGCGGATTTGCAATAATGCTGAAGGTTAGAATCGAACCGATTTTAAGGTGCACCCACAAAATAATTATTTATAAATCAAGTACTTTAGTATTAGCTAATTCAATTATGCAATAATGTTCCCAAAACCTCTAGGAATAGATTACAATTAACATTTGTAATATACATAATCGCATTGTATTTTAAAATAATTAATTTCTGATTTTGCGGATTTGAATCCGCCGGCCAAATGGCACACGGAAAGTTTCCGTGCGTTTCGTCTGCAAATTAACAGAGACTTAACAGAGGGAAATACGAATCCGTAAAAATTTTTCGGAAGTGAACACTAGAACAGGTCAGGGAAATCCGAATCCGAATAAATTTTACGGAAGTGGAAACTAGAACAGGCCTGTATATTTAAATAAATTTTGTTTATATGTAAATTTTCATAAATTTTTATTATTAGAAAAAAAAAAAAAAAAAATTTAATCATTTTGGATTTAAGGTTATATAGCTGGTTTGAAAAATAAATAAATAATAAACGTTTTTAAGCATAAATATGTAAGCATATTGAATATGTGATATTTTCTCAAAAATATGTTCGTTTATAATTTATAAATTTAATTTAAATTATTTTTTTTTTATATATAATATATTTCTATACTATTAATAAATATGAAGTTGGCCAGGATACAATACTGATGACCAAGAAGAGGCTTCTCTATTGAAAGAACAAGCTTTCTTCTTTATTTTGAAAATATATCTATGATTTTATGTATGATTTTTAATATTAACAAATTGCTGGCATTAGATCACCAACATAAAATCTAATTGAATAGTTTTTAGAAGTTCGAAATTCTCCTGGAATATAATTAGTATTGAAAATAAAATTAATAATCATGAAAATTGTAAAAAAAGGAAACCAAATTGAAAGTTAATTGTATATTTTACAATTTTGTATCACAAGACCGAACCTAGACATTCAAAAAAACACTTCAACTAAATGATTAAACATTTTTCCATTGTTAATCGAGTGCAGTTCCTCAAAAAATGTGAAAAAAATGTTCATTAACAGGCCATATTAAATTTCGAGAAGGGAGAACCAGACGAAACGGAAGTAAATTTCATTATTTTGATTTGCAACGAGATCAATCTTTCGCCCAGTCATCCTCGTCCTCATCCTCACTATGACGATGATGATGATGAGCAAACTGGCAAAGGGATCAGGCGCAGCCGCAGCAGCCGCCGACCGTTAACACCCATGGCAGACTTCCTCTTTTTTTTATAGAGAAAGGGAGAGAGAGCGAGTTAAGTTAGAAGAGGAAACTCCCCGCGTAAACCCCAAAATCGCAACCCTATATAAAATATATACATATAACTCCACTAGGACTCATGCTGCTGTCAGACGATGATTGCGATTGCAATGATGATGCTGCATTGTGTGAGCCCCTCCGACTCCGACTCCGATTCTGATTCCCGGCAAGGATAACGAACTCTGCAAGTCCCGGGGATCAAAAAACCCTCACTCAGTCTACCCTTTTCACGGCATTGAATTTCCCCTTTATTTTTTAGGCCGCCGTCTCGCATTTGTTTTTGTTTTGTCCTCGGCGGAGATTTTTTAGCAGCGGGTTGAACGGTTTTCAGATTTTTTGTTCGCGCAGCTGCTTTCGGGGTTTTACGGTTTTTGTGAATTGCCGTGTAAGTTGATCGCCACTTGATGTGGGAAAACCACTCCAGATTCGACTTTTTCGATCGGAGAGAGAAGTGTAGGTGTTGAAGATCAATTGGGGGACCAGAAATTAGCTTTCTACAGTTGCCAAAAAAGTCTAGAAGGTCCTCAAAGTTATAGAGATTTCACCCATCTATCACTTCTCATCCCTCTTTTTTATATACACATTTTTTTACTAGACCCAGGAAAGTGGTGTTCAGAAAACCGTAAGTAATTGCCGGGATATCCGTGCAAATATTTTCTATTTTTGCCCTAAAAAACCCTACAGTTTTTAGACGAAAAAAAAATATAGCTAACCCTCCCCTCGTTTGTAATTAAAAAAGCAACAAAAAAAGGACTAGAAAAGAGAAAAGGTTCTCGGGTTCAGAGTGTGCAAAAAAGGCTAGATGAGGAGCGTGATTGTGCAATGATCGGGAAACGAAATCTGAACTTTAATGGCACTCTCTACGCCTTCTCGGGACCATATAGTAGAATTGTTTGATTGAGTGTGCAGCAAATTCAGTATGAGATGAATCGATCCTAGATCCTAGACAAATCTCTTGAGGAGTCCATGCAAATTAGGGGTTGGCTCTCGGTTCTCCTGATCTCTCTGCTCCCAATTCATTTGTCCCTTCTTCAAAGTCTCAAATTAGTTGCGCATCTTGCGTACATTTGTCTGGGTTCCCTGCCTTGTCTTTTTACCTATTCTTTTTAAGGTTGACAAAGGAAAAAGGGACGAAAAAATCCTGTAAAAAAATCTACGCTTCTTAACAAGGCGCCTTTTGGCAAGGAGGGAAGGAAGATCTGTCTTTTTTGTTACCTGGCCCCTGACATTTTCCCATATATCTACAGTATTTCTTACAGTTCATTCACCTTAGCTGAGGCCAAGAGATCATGAGGATGGCTTGGGCGTTGCATCAGCATTGAAGATTAGGTTCAGTCTGTCGGATCAGCGAGGAAATAATGTGTTTCTTAAATTATTATAGAAAGGGTTAAGGGATCTAAGCTGTTAAAATGGATTGTCCATGGGACAGTTGCTGAATTAATTCGTTGTGGAATGATGGGAGAGTAATACTCGGGGCATGGGAAAACTGAATAAAAGTCTAAACTGATCTGTTGATTAATTTAGAAATATTTAAATGTAATGTTCGCCGTGGGATAATATAGTTTCTTAATTATATGTATT